CCCATTCTTTATCGTTTTATGACAGATACAGTATGTTCATATAACATTATGTTGAACATTGCTGTTTTATTGATTGTGCTAATTGTCCTTTGTTTTTCTCTTATTACTTGCTCTATTTTGCTGCTTTCTATCCCCACTAGACACCCACTACTTAATTCTTTTTAGCCCAACATAAGGAATTCAAAATATGAGTTTCTGTTAGCTTTCAGTAGGATAGAGAAAGTTTACAACTCTGTGTCAGATCTAACAATTTCATAGTCTCCCTCACACTATAGAAATTCTGCTGGAAGCTGGTTGATGAAGTTTGAGAGCAGCTATGTTCAGTCAGCTGCAGGCCACATGTATGAATCATGGAATTTCTTTCTCCTACTCTTTTATGTTTTCTATGATTATGAAACCTTTGTCACGAACATGACAATAGTACAACAGGGATCCACATGACTCAGGACCATCATGACCAAATAGTCACCTATCTGCATAAAAAATCAGTGGACCTTTGCCATATCCATATATGCCTATGAAATCAAACATCATTTTAAGAGCCAAGAAGGGTATATATTGAAAATAATGGGTTAAATAAACTTTTAAACTATGGCAATAGCAGTCACATATTGGAATTTGCATATTATGAAAAAACTTCAGTCTCATATAGATTGAATGTTAATTGAAGACAGTGAACTTGTACATGAAATAATTTTCTATTGGAGTTAAAGGTAAGACTACTGATAACTTAATCCCTTGAAGACATGATTCATCCTAAAGAAAAATCTTATGAGTTTGTTTCAGATATGTTCAGAGGGCAATAATATATTGAAATATTTATTTTCTATTTCTACAGTCCCTAACAGAGGCCATTATAATTTTTATTGTACTAGAATTTACATTTCTTATAGTTTTAAGTTCCATTATGTGTTTTGGATATTCTTTGGGGATTCAGTTCCTGGAAGTGAAAATAAAAGCAGGGTAACATGTGTGTATATGCAGTTTAATGTGTAGAAATGACTGAATAAGATGGGCATCCCCTACAGGTAGGGCTGAACAGTGGTGGTCTAAGGAGAGGAGGAGGCAGTGGAACCACAGTGAACAAGAATTCTACTGCCAAGTTGCATCAGTGCCCCTACTGTGACTACAATACAAAGAAAAGCACAAATCTTGTCACTCATTTAAGAACACATACTGGAGAAAAGCCCTTTCCATGTACATATTGTCCTCATTCAGCAACTACTAAAGAAAGCTTAAAAAGACATATTCGTACACATACTGGTGAAAAGCCATATGTTTGTTCTCACTGTCCATTTAGGTCTGCAGAAAAGGGTAATTTGAAAAATCATATCTTGATTCATCATGTTTAAAGAAGTTATCTAACATTTTGTTTTCTGGAAATAATTGTACTCAGGTGTGTCCTTGGGAAAGTTGGGGGGGGGGAGGTAAGAGGCTGCAATTTTTTTTTTTTTTTTTTTTTTCCGAAGAATTTGTTTTGGCATATGAATGTGGTTAAGTGAATATGTACATGATCTGTGTGTGTGTCTGTGTTTGTTTGTTTGCTTATTTGTGTGTTCTTGTGCATATGCATATTCATCATGTGTGTGTGTGTGTTTACTTTTATGCATGTATGTGTGTGTTTGCTCATATATGGACAAATGCAAATGTAAGCATACATGAAAATATGCAATTGCAAGTTCAAATTTGAATGTTTTTGGTATTACATATTTGGGATTTGTAAACTCATGATTCCTAGAATTTGTAAAGTGTGAGTTTAACAGTATATACATTTCCTTCTTAGAAGTACTAATTTTAAAAATCTTTATCTTAAGTTTGCACTTTGGTTTTATGTTGGTTCTTGTAAAGAAATTATTCTCATTTCTAGGTACTGAGATCATGTAGAAGCTGTTACATTTGAAGACTTTAGGCTAATAGGTATTGAATCTCTAGAAAGTCTGACAAGATTTTTCCATGAAACTATAATCTTATATGCCTTTATCTTTAGATAGATGGTATCCTTATTCATAGTTTCCATAGTTTTATATTCTCCTTCAGTTATCTATAATCCATTGAGTACTGCCTTGGTTGAAAAGGAAACTGAATAGCAGAATTGCTGAATAGCAAATATTTTCTCTTATATAGTTATACTGGCCCTTTACTGCATAATCCTATATATGTTATGTATGACTGATGTGTGTATCATTGATGTTTGGTTTCTTACATGCTCAAAAGTTCTAGTTTTTTAGATATTTAATTGAAGAGTTTGCCAGTGTTTGGGATAGAGGTTGGAAAAATATAGTGTCCTTGTTGAATATCACCATTAGTAAGTAGAACATTGCCTACAGGTGGGACTGATCACCAGCAGCCGGAAAGGTGGTTGGAGAGATGCCTCAGGAGCCAGGCCCATGAGTGACACAAAATGCAAGTTGTACAAGTGTCCGTACTGTCAGTATACCACTAAGAAGAACACAAATATGACAGCACATATATGTATTCATACAGGGGAAAAACCTTTCAGTTGTCCACATTGCTCTCGAAGATTTACACAGAAAGGAAATCTACAGTCACACATGTACACCCACACAGGAGAGAAGCCATTTGCTTGCTCATATTGCCCATATCGCTCAACACAGAAGAGCAATTTGAAGAGTCATTTGTTTTCTCATCATCCTCCTGAGAAAAAATAGATATTGATATGTTTGTGAGAGTATATATTTATTTTTTATATATTTTTTTAGAGAAAAGACTCATTTTGTTTAGTTCTTTTATCTTATGTTTGTATAAACTGTACTGCATTGGAAGTAAGTGCTTTGACACTATGTGCTGTGAAAGTTCTTTTGCATACAGGAAGAAAGATGTAGCCACATTAGTTATGTTGCCATTATTTTCATTCCATTAAAAATTTGTCTCTTGTCCCCATGTTATGCCATAGTTAGTTGTACTCTTTATGGTAAGAGGCATGATATGAGTTCCTTGTGACATGTAGAATAGGTATGAATAGGAATGAATTTCTTCATCAGATAAGTGATGTTAATGATGCATTTTGATGAAATCCTCATCAGAAATGTGTATACTTCTGAAGAAGGTCTAATCAGAATAAGTGAAATACAACTGAAGTTATTTGTTCTTTTTGATACCTTTTTCTAGACACGAGTCATTGTGAAAGTGACTTCTATCCTAAACATACTTAAAATCATGGAGGTAAATGTTTTTAGCAAAAGATGTACATATTGATTAATTTATTGCTGGCTATGGTAATCATAATGGCAGCAAATTAGCTATACAGTATATGTAATTTCAATCTAGTTTATTGCTGTGTGCTTCACTCTCATTAGAAAGTTAGAGGCCTTTGGGATATGGAAGATCCTGCTTCTGGCTTTAAGGATTACTACTTTTGTTTATCCTATCATGTACTCTAGCTCAAGGATATAGATACTGAGTAGATAAAGTGTCTATATAATACAGTGTTTACACAAATAAGTTCCTCTTGATAAATAAAGTATGAAGAATATAAATATATGAAAAATAAATTTTATGTAAAACTTATGGAAATTATAGCAATACAATTAACAACCAAATAGTATTGATGGTTAGAATGGTAACAGAAACAGTAGTGACCAAAATTTGAAATTTATGGAGATTGTAGTTGAGATTTGTATTGTCTACAGTTGAGTGAGTTTACAGTGATGTTATTGGTTGGGAATTTTTAAAACTGATCGGTGGTATGGCATTTTTGTTATCAGAATCAGTTGGTGGATTATAGTATTTAGAAAACATATATGTATATACTATGGTGTCCAATTTTTATAGATATTTTTGAAGTATGGATGTAGGCTGTTTTTTATTTTTCTTTCAATGAAAATAAGGCAACTAGTATATATGATTATGTAAACAGTGTGCAAAAATATATAATTATTTAGAAACTAATTATTTCTGTGCATTTTCCTTACATTCTAACATAAGAAAAAGGGATTAGATCAGGGGCTGAAAATTATGTCATCAAATTGTACTGGATTTTATCTCACCTACAATATCTACTTATAAGTATCTCACATATCATTGAATTGGAATATTTCTGTAATATGTTCTTCTATAGATACTGACACCATTACACTATTCATAACTAGTAATAAATGAATGTTAAAAGATAGTCACAGAATGGGGCCTTGGAGATTATTAGATCAAACGACCATGTTTAACCCCAGTATGACGGGGCCGGCATTTCTGCAACCTAATTTTTACACAACAGTTTAGTCTTAATGATAGGATTTGTGCTGTGTACAGCCAGCCCATCTGCTCACTTGCTAGAGCAAGTCATGATGCACATTCATAAATACACGATTACATTAGATAGCTATAGCCATATCTGTCACCGAGGGATTAGAGTTAAATGTTAGTTTTTATTATTTAGACAATGATAATGACTCATTGCAAACCCGTAAAATGAAAAAAAGTGATCTTTGTATTATGTTATTACACACTAACAATACCATATTGCAAATTAGTTGAAAATTATGATTGCTGCAAGTAAAGTATCTTATTGGATGTGCCAAAAATATGTACTGTCTCTGTGAACTATTACGAATAAAAAGAAAGGAATAGAAAAGAAAGAAAACTCTTCTCCTTCAGAAAATGTGTACTATATTGTATTTCTTTGCTAAATCAGTAATATTCACCAGAAATCACTTTAATTTCCTTTTTATGAACCTCTGAACATGTATACATGAGTATGAATTATGTATAAAAGTATTTAATTGATTGTTTCTAATATGATTACTGTTGACCCACTCATGTTGGATGATATCTAATGACTGCTTTGTGAACCTGGCAGGATGACTAGTACTAATGCCATACACAGTCAAGTCTGCTCTAAGATGTGCATGCTAAACATTTGTGTGCTCTTTTACCCTGAATGCAGTTAATTTGGAGACTGCTTTTTAAAATCAAGTTTAAAATCTCTTTTTGGCCTCATTTTCTGAAAAAAAAAGTATGGTGGAGGCAAAGCATACAGAGCAAGG